AAAAATTTTGTGTTACATTTACTTGGCCAATTTCAAATAATAAAAATTTAAAAAGTGTCCACAATATTTTGGTAGGGTACTGTATATACGTATATATATTTTAATAAATTTATTAATTAAATTAAAAATTATAATTTTTAAAAAAATTTTTTATAATCTTATTTTTAAATCAATTTTTTTAATAATACTGTATTTTTAACTTTAAAACAAAATATATTAAAAAATTATTATTATTATTTAAATTTATTTAATTGGTTTTTTTTTATTATATTTTTAAAAATAAATTAATAAAATATTAAATTATAAAAAAAAATTATTATTATTATTGTAACATATTGTATATATTTTTTATAAATTAATTGATTATTATAGGAAAAATAACATTAAACTTATTAACTTAATATGTTATATAAAAGATGTTTTTACTTTCTTTATATATAAAAATTTTATATTTTTTATAATTAATAAAAAATAACAATATTTACTTGCCTAAAAAAAAAAATTATTAAAATTATCAAAATCTCTAAAATTTAAAAAATTACTTAAGCCCAAATTATACTTTAATTAAATAAAGACATTTTATATCTGTTATATTAATTTTTATTACTTTTATAAAAATTTATTAAAAAAAATCAAGATTTAAAAATTTTTTAACTATATATATGATTAATATTTTAAAAACTATAGAAATTTTTTATAATTTTTTTTAGAATTTTATAAAATTTTTTAAAACTATAAAATTTTTTGAAATATAATATTAAAATATAAAACTGTAAGAATATATACCTTTGATTTAGAATGATTTTTCAGATATTTAGTTTTTTAGTTATCAGTATTTTGGAAAAATGAAAAGTTTTTGTTTTGTAATTTTCTAATTAGAAAATTTGAAATAAATAAAAAAGAGTTATAATTTAATTGTAAAATTGATTTATTTAAATAACTAAAAATATTAAAAATATTGCAATAAGCCATTTTAAAAGTCATTTTAAAAGCCATTTCAAAGTTATTTACAATAATTAAAATATTATAAAATCTATAAATACTATTTATTTTCAGAAAAATTTAAATGAAACCATTAATTATGAGAAATAAACCAAAACATATTTTTTAATGATTATCAATATAAACAATAGCTAAAATATATGGTGAAATAGAAATTTCTGACAGTGAAATTACCAGTGTTTCATTAAGTACAAGTAGTAAAAAATATTGAAGCTAGGTATGAAAATATTTTATTTTTAATAAAAATTTAAAAAAATTTTGATGTAATTATTGTAAAATATATAAATATCTAATAAAACTGTTATTAACTTATATTGTATGAACAATAAAAAAAATATTCCAATTTTGATAAATTTATTTTATTTTATATTTTTAATAAACAAAAATTACTAATTAAAATTATTTAGATATATAATATAGCAATTTTCTTGCATTTACTTGTAAAATGGATCATAATTAATAATTTCCATTTTACAAGTTATTTCTATTGAAATATTAATTTGTAGGATTTTAATAAATACTGTCTATTATTATACAGAATTATAACTATATTTAAATAATGTTAGTTCCGAGAACATTAATACAGTTCGCAGCGATTTTATTACGTGAAGATCTTTAATAGTCACATGTTTATATTTCTTGGCACAAGTAACGCACAGAGAAAACCTCCCATGTCGTTTAAAAACATATACTATAGAATTTCTGGATTTCTTTTACGCTTGGCATGCACAATACCATCCTTTTTCTACGAAAAGAAATTCATTCTGCTTTTATATGCAAATCGTTTGTTAGAAACAGAAAATGCAGGATCGCAATGTTTGGTACTATTGGGATTACTAATAGTACTTAGTGGGTTTTAACCCGGTGTGCATTAAAAAAAAAAAACCAATACCAGACTCGTAACTTACAACATGACCATCAATTATACAAAACGGTTAAGGAGTACATGCAGTATTTGTTGTATGCATTTTGATGAAACAAAATAACCGTAGTGGGCAATCAAGAGAAATAGAAACAGATATGATTTCTTGCGTATATAAACACTGTTTTTTTTTTTTTTATCTCTTTAGAGTTACTCTCCTACCTCTTTCTTTTCATCTTTCTATCAGACAGACTGGTTCTGTCAATCTCACGTTTAATTTTCAGTGTCTCGAGTAGAACCGGCATCTGCTCATTTGCCCTTATCCATTATCATATATACCAACAGCTACTATGAAAATAATATTTTTCTTGATTTTATTTATTGGTGTATTGACTCTCACATCCGAGTCTTTCCCTGTATCTCAACCTAACAGCATCTCTTTGGTTAAACGTTCTCCCTCTCCAAATCTTAAATGGACTGAGGTCCGTGCCATACATAAGAATCGCCAATTGATCAAATATGAGGGGATTATTGTAAATTTATTCAGAAAAGGAATAATAAATGAGTCAACGATTCAAGCGGTAAAAGCTGCCAAAAGTGCCAATTTAGAAACATTGCAAAATGAAGGGAACGAAGATATTGGTTATTTCGGTCCAATTAAGATTGGTGGTCAGACTTTTCAGGTGATATTTGACACAGGTTCTTCCGATCTTTGGGTTCCATCAACAAATTGCACGTCCCCAGCATGTACAGCACACACACCATTTGTGGAATCAAAATCCAAAACATTCGTCGATCTTGAAACAACTACCGGAATCACTTATGGTACTGGTCAAGTCAATGTCACCAGTGGCCAAGATCATGTTCAAATTGCCGGATTAACTGCTTGTGGTCAAACATTTGGGCGTGCTTTTTTTGAGTCCGATGATTTTCTCCAAACCGAATTTGACGGTATCTTCGGGATGGCTTTTGACAATTTAAGCGCTCAAAAAGCCTCCACTCCCTTCTCCACCATGGTTCAACAGAAGAAATTAGCTAATTCATTCTTCGGTTTTCATCTCTCTCGTGCATTGGATGCTGGAGATGTCGGCACACTAACACTTGGAGATGTTGATAAAACCAAATTCACTGGAACCATCTCAAATAATAATGTAATTGGTGCTACAGGATTCTGGTTGATCAAATTAGATTCCGCATGTGTCGATGGTCTTTCTACTGTTACCAGTCGTGGGGCTATCATTGACACTGGTACTACGCTTGTGCTCATTCCAACGGCAGATGCTACCGCCATTCACGCGAAAATTCCCGGCTCACAGGACATCGGGGGTGAATTCGCAATACCTTGTAATACCACTTCCAAAGTTTCTTTTGCATTTGGAGGTGTTTCTTATAATATCGATCCCAGAGATTTAGCTAGAACGCCTATTCCAAATTCGCAAGGACTTTGTCTTTCAGGAATTGCGTCAAGTGATGCACTTGGTCAAACATGGTTGGTGGGTGATGTTTTCTTAAAGAACGTGTACTCGGTATTTGACATTGAAAAGAAAACTGTGGGATTCGCTCCCAGTGTTCGCTTTAATTGAAATTTTGAGTTTCGAGTATATACATGTAAAAATTTGTAGAAAATGTCCTTCATAATAAAAAATTTTAGTAGATGTAATCAACTAAAAAATAGACATGTAAAAAATTCAAATTTTGTAAGCATTGAAATAATTCAACGCATTACATGATCTTAGAAGGAAAGTAAATAAAAACTATTTTATAATGGAAGCAAGCAGAATCCGAAGTATTCTAGATACTATAACACGTATCTTAAAATGTTATGATAAAATTATTCGGCCTTTGGCTGAGGTCTTTTTCTGATGCAGGCAAGGATGCTCCAAGCCTGCTAAACACAGATAATGTTTAAATTAGAGATATAGATAATAAAAATAAAAATAAAATGATATTATAATTATTAATTTAATAATAGTTATACATTTTTTAAATCATTATTATTATTATTTTCTTTTATTTATACAAATATATATCATCTTTCTTATTTAAAAATTTCTATTCGAATATAATTTATTTTTAGAAATATTATATAAAAAAAGTGATGAATATTTTAAATATGTACAATACTGCCTATATAAAAATGCTTAACCGATCATTCGATTTTTGTTTTTTTAAAGAAAAAAAAATTTTTTTTATAGATACGTAATTATCCATCAATATTGCATGCAAAATACAATTTATTTAAATATATGCCTTTAATTTATTTGGATTTTTGTTTCGATAAAAATATAAAATATTTACATGGAAATGGGGTAGGCGTGAAAAATGGTCACAGAATCTATTTCATTTCTCTTAAATACGAACAATTTTACTCATAGAAATAAAAAGAAACAAATTTTAAAGAATTTCTATATGTATTTACAAGTAGTCCCTTGAAATCGTTTTCAATCTTAAATCGACATTGGCCAGAACATTCCCTCTTCTCCATTCCGAACCTCACGAAAACCCTCCATCTTTTTAGAATCATTCACATCCTCGGCGTCCTCGACAAACTTATTACAACGTTGTTTTTTACACTTATAATGTATATTATTCATCGAAGTTCGTGGAATGGGTATTCCTTTCTTCGTGCTCACACTCCAATTTATCGAGTGTGAATCCATTTTTACTTTTTTCACGTTCGGAATAAGTTCATATGGCGGCAACGATTTTACTTTCCTTTGAATTCTCGATGCTGACACCAATTTTGATAAATGATTAGTCAAAGTATTACATTGAACGTTGTCGTCATGATCGTTATCGTTGGAAGCATTTTCAGAAATCGTCTGCGGTGATGTTGCATATTTATAAGAGGTAGGTGAGGTCGAAATGGGGGTTGTGCTAGTGTTTATGCCATTAGTTGCGCTGGTATCACAAGTGGTTGAAGTTACCGTAGTTGTTGATGTATTTTTGTTATTATTTAATATTGATTTTACGGATCGAGGTGGTTGCTGTATCAGTGTCGAAAGATGATCTGCATATTTAATTTCGTCACTGTCATTATCTTCATCTTCGTCCTCGTCCTCGTCCTCGTCATCGTCATCCTCATCCTCGTCGTCGTCTTCGTCGTCTTCGATATACCCTTCATCATCCGAATCCATGTTTTCCTCTTCAGAATCCATAGATTCATCATTCTTGCTATCTATCTTTTGTGTCGGTGGCGGTGAAAAATTTTTTATTGACTTGGTAGTATTCTTGTTGTTTCTGGGACGAATTACCCGTGGAGATGTAGCAAACGAGGTTTTCCGTGTAGCGACAATTGAAATCGTCTCAGTCGTTGTGTCACCTTGTTCTTCATATTTGCAGTCTGCTGTTGGTGTGTCATTTCTAGACGACAATTCATCTTTCCTATGAGTACGTACGACCAAAGGACAATTTCCAAATTTCAAAGATTTTGTTTTCGTAGCGGCAGTAGTGATAATGTGATTATGATTTTCTGCATCTTCCAATCGTTTTGTCGTTGGAATAATAATTGGTTTTCGCTGCATTTGTGACGGTTGGTTTTTATTAATTCGTTGTTCAACTTGTTTATTTAACAATTCGGACAAAAGGGATTTTGTGTTGGATTGTAGCAAGGACGATTGTGGAAGAAGATTAAGCTTCGTAAATTCCACATCCGCATTTTTTATGGTGGTAACGGCAACATTGTCTGATCGTTCAAGAAAAGAATTTGACGAGGGGATGATATTATTGGAGGCTAACTGTAATACAGAAGTGATCAACGAGTGAACCATGCGAGATGATTTTTTGGAAGAACTTGAGCTATTATTGTTCGTGTTCGATATAATTTTTTGGGAAATTAAACAATTGTTTTGAATTCGTGTTGATGATGTGTACGACCTTTTTTTTTTAAAAAAGTAAGCATTAAAAAAATGGATTTTGAATAAAATGCTAACGTTTAAGGTCCAATAAGGAAGATGCAACTTAGAATGTTACCTTGGCAATCCATTGCACCCATTTAACCCTAACGGAGCACTTATAATGTTATAAGGTGATAATGGTTGCATTTAACTTTTAGAGCGCTCCTTGGTTCTAGGTGTAAAGGGCTAGTCAGACGCTAAATGAATAAATATACTGTGATTAGAATTTAATCTAATTAATCTTCGACGAATTCTCTATATGATGTTTTATGGATTTTATTGATTCTTTAAAGAACGGAATAATTGATAAATAATAGGAAGATGAAAGTTGGCGATGTCACTACAGCAGTAATTTTTCTTCAATCTTAAAGTACTCTGTCTAGGGAGCTTTGGATTTATATAAAGATTTGTACAGCTATATATAAACAAAACCTGCTGTGTTCTGTGTTGTCCAAGGCAGATGACTGTTGGCTTTTTCCTTTATATCAAAATATGGACTTCTATTGTCAAATTGGTCATGCATGACGTAGATAGGTTACTTAACAGAAATGATGTACAGTATACAAACATTTAATGATACATGTATGCCGTAATCGTCATGTTGGCAAAATAAAACGTAACTTTACCAGGCAACCGAATTTTTGTTAAGTAAGAATTTACCTAAAGTAATGCTATTTAAAAAAAGTAATTGCTCTATAGCAAAGCGAATCTTCGTTGCTCACGGAAAAAATCTTATATATGTATTGCCAAGAGCAAGGTTTTTTGGTTCATCCACGGAATCTCAATTAAACCATTGTTCGTATGGATAATGAGTTCCTTTTTAACTAATATGTGCGAAACACAGGGGCTTTTAAGTAATAAATTTCTATTGGTGCAATAATGAGACATCCCCAATGAAACATATGTTTGATTTATTTGTTTTCGAGGTTATTTTTTTTTTTTTTTGATCGTGACGTTGATAATGTGCATGATAAAGGTTGTTGATAATCAATCAAATCTTTAATGCGTGAAATGGCGCGGAACTGGGGTAAGGTTTTGATTTCCTTTTTTGAAAACCAGTGGCACTCGATTTGTTCTTTTTGGTTTGGTACTACCAATCATAATATGTCGAGTTTCATTTCCAGACTGATACCCTTTTCTCTTTACGAGATTTTAGATAACGAGAAACTTGTTTACTATATACCGTGATTACATAATAACATCATACATGTACATATCAACGCATGGTTATGTAACATTTTGTTTACAAAGGCAGATCTTTGTTATCAATAGCAGAATTAAGTTATTCATAATCGCAGAGCATTCTAGCCACTATTGTCTCCTGTATAATTTTGTCGATAATTTGCAATTTTCATATGTCTTGTATATTGAGATTACTCTAAACAAAAGGATTTACCTATTATTGTTAAAATAGTTTTTTTAAAATCAATATAATAATTGTAACAAAAGTAACTTAAATTTATAATTCAAATTTTTTAAAATTTTATTATATACAGTAGACTGAAATTAAATAATGATTTTATTATATACAGTATACTGAAAATGAATATTTTGTACTAACAAATCTATTACGTATATATATATATATATATTTTTTTTTTGTAGATAAACATTATTTCTTTATTTGATTTGTATATAGCAGGGTATACATCATGAAAGAAACAATATCTCTCATATGTTGGTACAATGAGTTAAATGCTAGCTTGCCTACAGTAACCATACGACTAATATTGAAAAGAAAAT